CCCTGCTCTTTTCCCCTTGCTCATACACAGGTTCCTAGGGGATTGGACTGTAAAACATTATCCACGTTTTGAAACCTTAAATTTCCCCCCAAGGTAAAAATAGTGCCTTGTAATGAATAAATGATAACCAGGTGAAACCCAGAAAACGAAAACTGAAATGCGGCCATAAAGGCTTGTATTCTGAAATTCGATGATAGCGTGTGTAGGTGTGTAAGTATGTCTGTATATGTGTGTGAGATCTAGAGAGATGGACAGGAGGGAGAGAGAGAGAATGGTGCTGGATAGAGGGAGAGGCATTAATTATACAACTTGCTCTCACATTTCCAAATTTTCAGTGATTTCCTCTTTATCAGTTCACAAAAGCTGGTGGTCAGAATTGACAATAAATGAGTATTTTCAGGTTAAGTATGGACCAAATAGCCTTGTCACTATATGCAAACTCATTGGAGGGAAGGCAGTTGTAACCTGCAAGATACAAAATCTTCAGTAGCACCAAAGGCATCCTGGGACTAAGGATTTTTCCTCCATTTTTGGTGGGAACTAGATCACTCCCTTCAGGAGATTGTTGCAATGCATTTTTCCAAAGATCAAACCAAGGAAGGCACTGAAACTCCTGGACACATTCCCCCCTTTCTCCCAACCCTTGGCCAAGGGAATTCTCTCTATACTAAGACTTTGTGAAGCTTGTTATTTTTATGTACCTCAAGTCTTGAGCAAAAATTATATTGTTCTGCACCCAGGCCAGAATACTCTCGCCTAAGAATTTATAAGCCGCCTATGGAGTTTTAAGGAGGCTTCAAAAGGAATGGTCACAAGCCAAGATTTGTTAACATATCCAAAAATGAGGCCTGCAAAAGAAAAAGAAAAAAAGAAAGAAAAAGAAAAGACCCGTAGGTGCCTTTTGAAGTTTCTAATAGGTGTTGTGAACAGTGGAGGATCTCACCCATTGGTAGATCATCTTCAAGAATAATCTGCATCAAGTCTGTAAGTTGGAGGAAATAATGACCTGGACTGCAACCTACCCCAACTTCTTGTTAGAGACTTTTCTATATGGTTTAATTTCTGTCTCATCAGGTGCCACCATTGAAAACCAAAGGCACGCTGTCCTTCATTTATATTCCCTTTTAAGTGGTAGAATTCACACAGGCTAAGTTGCTATGGACAAGGCAGAATAAAAGTTCTCTTCAGAATCGTTCCAGAGAGCAGAGAGGAAAAAGCCTGTCCTCCGTAACTGGGACGTGTTCAAGCATGTGCTTGCAAGGCATTGGCTTCATGCATATGAAGCAGCCTGAAGAAAGGCAGTCATCAACAAAGAGAAAGGTTATTCACATGCTGCTCTGCACGCGCACAAGTAGACTGGCTGCAAAAGCTGTTCTCACCCAGCACACTTGACCTATCAACTTCCAGAGGTGGATGTCAGAGATATGACTCTGAGAACATTTCAAGGTTCAATGCCTCCTGGATGGTCCCAGGTGGAAGCACCACACTTTGCTTCTATAATAAGAAGGCTGTCTTGTGACCAGGGAACAACCCCACCTTTATCCCAAACGTGTCTTTCAGAGGGCCCTCTCAGATAACTGCCACCATGTTTCTTGCCAGGCTCTCTTACATAGAAAGCCTCCTCACCCAAGAAGCTTCAACCTGGGGTCAGAATGTCTTTTTCTTTCGTCTTGAATGACCTGGATGGTGCCCTGCAGCTACCTTTTCCTCTGATAGCATCAGCCTTTATGTTTTAAAGAAAAAAAAATAAAGAACTTGTTTCCAAGTTGTAAGACTGCTAATGTTGCACATTCTCTTAGATGATTTATTAGTCTCTTTAGGAAGGTATATTTCTGCAAGGATCATGTCATTTGCAAGGCATATGGCAGAAGGGAGCTTTAGTTAAGGGATGGTGAACTAAATTGCATCAGGTTTTGTTTTGGCAAGGACACCAGATGGATGCCTTTATGATGAAGTGGGTCTCCTCCAGTCTTTTCCTTTATGCAGGTCTCCAACAGGTGTTTCCTCTAAGGCATATCTGTTTTCCATAACATCAGAACGAAGAAAGGAATGAAGAATAAAGATGTGTGTGACAGCTTGTGTACATAGACCATACTTTTATTATGATAGAAAAGTGTATAGTGAATGATTTGCTATTCTGAGTCAAGTTAAAATGTGCTTGGGAGAAGATCATATTCCATGCACCAAAAGGGCATTTAATTTTCAGACCAAGGACTCTTCATTTATTATGGGTGGGGTGGGGGAGGGGGGAGGAGGAGGAGAAGTGGGGAAAAGCTAAAGAAAGTGACCAGAAGAAACACAGTGTCAGTTGTGAATGCTGAGGGCAGAGGGCAGGAAGCCACCTCCCTAAAGGTAACTTGGGACATTATATCGATATCTGAGGGAAGGTGTCCAGGAAACTACACGTGGAGAGGAAAGAAGTTTTTATGAATGAATAACATAGTCAATTCTCCAAATCCTGATAAAAATCAAAACCAGACCCAGGTCTTAGATGTGTTCCCTTTAGCAAGCCTGGCATAGCCATCACCATGGTCTTGTCTAGTACAGTTAAGAGAGCCTGTGTGGCTCTTCAGAGTCTGGGTTATGGGTATTTAAACCACCAACAGTCAGGTTAATTTGAGTAAACAAGGTAACCCATTTCGGTCAAACTGACCCTGAGGCTTACATCTTCTGGCTAGGTAAATGACTAGAATTCACTAAGTTTATAGGTAGGTCTTAAATGGAGAGCGAAATAAATATTTTGCCTAGGCTTTGGCTGATCTCATTGGCAATTAGCCTCTCTGCTTTTCCAAACACTTCCCCAGTACCCTATCCTCCCACCCCAGCTTCGCTGTCTAGGCCCTCTCTCTACCCCATTACTTTAGGTCTGACACTTCAATCTCAGTTTAAGTAAGTTCTTTTATCTGAAAACTTATGACTTAAGATAGCTATTTAGAAACTAGCCTGGTTCAAAGAGAGAAGATTTGCTTGTCGTTATGTTGGAGTCTGAGTCTTTGGGCCACGTATTTAATAGCAAGCCATATTAATTCACAGGGAAAGTCCCCCTAACCCTTCAGCGAAGACAGCAATAGGTTATATTTCTCCCCGGAGGTATAGTAAAATCTCACAAGAGAATGCTGTCATTAGGTACTGATTGCCTACAGTATGACATAGTACAATATGTCCCAAAAGATGTTCTGAGGGATAATAAAAGATATTTTAAATAAGTAATAAGTAAGTACATAAATAAATAGTAGAAGTTTTTGTGGTCAAATAAGTGTGTGAAACACTGGATTACACAAATTTTAAAGGATTTCTTTTTCTGCAAGGCTTTTAAAAACCTTCATAGGCTAAAGTGCAATGTGAATCTCAAAGAGGGGATACTTTTTAAAAAAATTATTTGACTAAAGAAAACATTTCTTTTTGACTTCTCCAGTTACTGATATTCCATGGAACATGTTTGTAAGAAAAGGTACTTGTTAAGACAGGATGGACTTAAGCTATGGTAAAAACCATGAAATCTCAGTGGCTTAGCACAACAAAAGCGTATTTCTTGTTCACATTACATGTCTAATACAGGTCAAGGTGGGCAGGCAGGGTACTCTCCTCCACATAGTCATTCATGTACTCAGGCTGGTCATCTCTTCAATAGGTTAGAAGAGAGCCTGAAGAATTGCATGGGGGCTTGTCACTATGTCAGTGTGAGCAGCAATGATGTGGTCACTTTGGTCCAAGGCACGTAAAAGCCCAGGCTTGATTCTCCAGTGTCTTTCTCTTCCCTTAATGATGGAGGAGGGTGCATGTTTCATGTGTGTGGTCTTAAGATAGTAGAGCCTTTACCCTCCTAAGACTCTGAGTGGCTGTGTGGAGCAGAGACACCTGTTCACCTGAGTAAAATAGTGTGTGTGAGAAATAACCTGTGTTGTGTTAAGCCCCTAGGATTTTGACTTTTTTTTCTGCAGACTATGCCTAGATTCTCTTGACTTAAATAGGTCCTTTTGAACTGTATACTCTCTATGATTCTAAAGAGTTTTGTAAAGTACAGCATAGAGAATATAGTCAATAATGTCATAACAACTATGTACAGCACCAGGTGGGTTCTAGACTAAAATCAGGGGGATCACTGCATAAATTATGTAAATGTCTAACCACTATGCTGTACACCTGAAACTAATATAAAATCATAGTGAATGTCAACTGTAACTGAAAAAAATAATTTTTTAAAAAGAGTTTTCTCTCTTCCCTAACAAGCAAATATGCATTCTTTAGGACATGAATGAGATTTTTCAACAGATCATCTAACCCTTGTGATGATTGAATATATAATACGATAAGCATTGTGCCTAACAGCAGTGTGGATTAATCACATAGAGGGCTTTGCTAAGACTTAAATCAAGATTAGAGAAAAGTCTGGTCAAAAGCAGGCCAGTGATGGAAGCTATAAAAAATGCAAGATTCATTTAATCAGTAAGGATGTTTCAACAGAGACCCCTAAGGAAAGATAACAAAAGGAGAAGGGAGGAAAACAAGCTAGGGAGAGAGATGCCACCCATGACTTAATTTCACAGCCTTCTGAATTTTGTGTTCAGGTACTCAAAACACCTCTCGTGATTTCTCCCAATCAATAGTAGCATCACGATAGTAGCAAAATTAAGAGCAGAAATTACTACCTTCAAAGCACATATAATTTAAGGTAAAAGGACTGATGTGTTTGTTGAACACACACAGATGTGCATGCACATATGTACACGTATACACACACGTGCACACATGCACACACACAATCCTTGTGGCTTTTTCCCACAGAGTTTAGTATGTTTTCAGCTATGATACAGGCTGGACATTTAGCTCCAGGTGTCCTTCAGATGCAAATCTTTGTCCTGGAGCCTCACAGACCTGAGGTCATTCTCCTTGTGTTATTCTTCACTTTGGGCTCAAAGCTCTGATGAATTTGACATCTTGGCTTTGTTACACCAGAGCCTCAAATGTTCTCAATCTAACTCTCCATTCTTTCTACTTAGGCCTTTTCTCTATGAAGATTCTGACTGTCTTGATAGCAGTGGCATGTTTCACTGGTGTAGAACAACCCCTTTGGAAAAGGTGATTCTGGTAGGTGATCTTGCACTAAATCTTAAATAAAATAAAGTTTCTCATAGGATAAATGATACTCCCACTAATCATAAGGACTTGCCATTTCTCTTTGTAAACTATGAATTTTGGAGGAAAAACACATACCTCACCAGCCAGATGAATAGTTTGCAAGGTAACATGTGGCATTTGAAAAAGTCTATGTGGATAATATGCTGGTATTTAAAACAATTAGATCAGATTCTTCAACTACTTCTTCCCTCCTTTAACAGTTTAGCTAAGTCAGTTATTCAGAATAATGTTCTCCTGAAACTGCTGTTTTGCTAGTAAATCTAATTAATTTAAATGCACCAGGGAAACCTACTATTTACAAGAACTCTGCAGTCTTTCTTTTTTAAAGTAAATAAATGTTTTCCTAATTTATTATTTTTTTAAGTTTGGATTTTCTATAGTAGTTTTGCTTAAAGCTGGCTATAATTATACTTAACACATTAGCCATGAATGTATCTCCTAGATGCTTGCCCCCTACAACATGGGTGAATCCTTATTGATATTAGAATCCTATCCCTGTCTCTGTCCTCCCAAGGAGATAAACTAACTCAGCTTCCTAAAATGCCATCAACCAAGATGTAAAAAGCCTTGTATCCTAATTCAGGCTCTGATATCTGCTCTCTGGATCCCCATCTAATCTCATTTTCTAGAGTTAGAAACTCAAGTATAATCTCAGTGGTATACCTCATAAGCAGTAGTTGGTAAATTGCCTAATAAAAGTGATTGCTTGCATGTCGTATGAACCCTATATAATTTTTTAAACTATGCCTAATTGACAATTATGAATGTTTTCTTGCTTTCCAAAAGTAGTTCACTTGTTTCTGTTATACACACACACACACACACACACACACACACACACACACACACACAATCCCAATGTCTTGACAGAACATGTTTCAATTTTTGTAAACCATGATCAATAATTTGATCAGAAGCACAAAATTGTTAGAGCTGTTGTATCACTTAGAAGACTGTTGGGGTTGCTGAAGCACATCATTTTAGCAATTATGTCCTATTCTAACCTAAGCGAAGTAAAACCCATTGAGCAGGCAGCCAAGCTTTTTTTCAGTGGGAGGGAAATCTTTAGAAAGGTTGGGAAGTTGGTTGAAGGCATCCAAGAGACCAAAAAAAATGAAAATAGCAGACGTTTTATTATACCATATTTATTAAGCACGGAGACAGGTTTCTATACTAGATATCTCCTTTATAACACTCAATGTGGAATGTAGTTCAGAATACCAACTGAGTCTTTTGATAAGTGTAGAAGGGCTTCTAGTTTAAGATTACTAAGCATTTTGAAACTCGTGACCCTGGAGGAGAAATGTCCAGATTGCAAAATTCAGGGAGGCTTTGAACTTAGTTTAGTTTGCAGAAGGGTCAAGTGCAAGTGGTCAATTTAAGTTATTTTGAACAAATAGTGCATCCTCCTCTTCTCCCAAGAGCCACCATCTTTCTCAATTGGGAGACAGTTCTGAGCCACAGTTTCTTGGAGAAATTGCCTCTCTAGCTGTACCCATTAATGCACTCTGCCATGCATCTTGTTTCTAATTGTTTAGTTTTACTCAGAAGAGTAATTGTTGGACTTCAGGCATGTTGCATTAAATACCGTTAGAGGCTTCATTATTCAAGTTAAAACTAATCAGATTAGCTAGAGAAGATTATTTAATAGATTTGGTTAAGATTCATATCACTCTCTAGGAAGGCTCTCTAGGAAGAAAAGTAACTTTATTTCTGCTCACAGGGTGATTCCCTTTGGAAAGAGTATTTCCCAGTATATGCTAATTTGACAAACTAATTGTTCAGATGTCAGATGCTACTTACTTATCCTGTTAGATTTCATCAGCCTCTATGTCATAGAAGCTTGTCATTTAACCCAGCTAAGACTGACATAAGGGAGAATGATATGTCCATTTGAATGAGTCTTTGTGTGCTCAGGAATATGAACATATTCATACATGATGTGCTTTCAAATGCATTTCACTTGTTCTTTACCAGCTTCCAAGAGTCCTTCTCTGAAAATCTAGGAATTCAGTAAGGTTCAGATTTGATTAATAGTTACTGAACAGCAGTCAATGAGTCAAACACTGCACTTTCAATATATTAGTTTTCACAACAGAATTAACTTCTATTTATTTTTAAACCACTTAGGCTTAAAGAAGTTGAGGGTTAGAGAAGTTAACTACTTTGTTCATAGTCATACAACTAATGACAAAACCAGAATAGAAAATCAGGTCTCTGACTCCAGGTCCAGTGTTCCCTCTACTCCATCCCAGCTCCACGAGAGGAGACATTGACTCAATCCCTGAAAAAAATCAGACAAAGATTTAAAATAAATTTCCTTTAGGAACATCATGCCTTTTTTTAAAAAATTACATTTATTGTTTTTGCAAGTCTCTATGAATGTGGAGAAAACCTAATCTAAATATCCATATGTATATTACTTTTGTTTTCAACTTAGAGATATAGAGGAGATGTTAACGATTGGCAATGTTGATAATAGTATAAGACATATTCAAATGTTTGGGATCCAGTGCAATTTTTATAACCTAATTTCATATGTGCATGTTGCATGATGAATTTCCTCAACTCTGGAAAGAGTCTATTGAATCAGTTAAATTTGTGTAAAAGCATGATTAATCATTTGATTAATCTCACTAAATTGTGAGAGCTGTCATATCAACTAGAAGACTATTAGGATTGTTTACACGCACCATGCTAGAAATTGTGTCATATGCTGAACTAAGAAAAATACTTATTAAATATAAATATTAGGTTGAACCAAGTGAAATTACCAATATTCAGCCATTTTTGACCCAACAAAAGGTAATTTCATATGGTTCAAACTAACATGTGTTTTCATGTGTGTGAAAATCCACTGAAAACTGCAACATGTTGTGCAACTTGATGTAATTTTCAGGGCTCACTAGAACACATAAGTTTAGCAATGGAATTTGGAATATTTGTTTGTCACTGAATCTTACTATGTAGCGCTTATGAGGCTAAAAACTATAATGAAAATAAGGGATATTTCCCTCTTTTTGGTCCAGTGATTTCACACCTAGATGAATGATACTGATCTGAGTTTTAATTGTACTCCAGGCTAATAGAAAACTAAAAAAAAGTGAAATAAGGAGGAACTCCACAAAAAGATCAAAAGTCCAATTGCTCCACTGTGAATAAGTTCCATATTTTATGAACAGTTTGCAAAATTCTGTTATCCTTATGAAAATATTCCTGTGGGTGTACATAGAAGAGTTGGGATGAGGGGAAGAAGCCTTCTTTGAGGAACTCTCATCTTTTTCTAAAAAATGACCAGATTCTGGCATGCTTATACTTAGAAACGAACTGACAGGTCAAAACACGAGTTTCGGAACCACGTTGTAGCGTGTATCTTTGGAGATGCCCAATCAACACTGATGGGGCTTCGGAATTTTGTAATGCCCTTGAGAGCTAGCAACTACACCCGGCAGGAGCTGAAGGACATCGTGTTCATTGGGTCCCTGGATTACCTGAAGAGAGAATGGCGATTTCTCCGGAATTTCCCCCAGATATACATTCTGCCTGTAAGTGTCACATACCGAATAGTGAATATTTAATATGATAAGAGCACAAACAGTACTAGCATTAATAATAATAATAATAATAATAATAATAATAAAATAATAGCTTGCAGTCATATAATGCCTACTGGTACCAGAAACTATCCTATGCATTTTACATATATTAGCTCATTTAACTCTCAAAATACCCTGATAGTATAGATTTTAAGGATGTTGAACTTCAGGCATGGAGAGAATAGTAACTTGTCCAAGTTTACACAGCAGGTAAGTAGCAGGACCAGGATTTAAATCCAGGCATTATGCTCAGGAGCCACCATGTTTTATGTTTATAACCATGTTTTATGGTCTTTATATAAATAAGATTTACTCTGCATTTCTGAATCTAATTCTGTCTTAATGACTAAACCTATAATCTGATACTAGCCAGTCTTTGTGCTCTTTTTCATCTTTTCTGGAGACACATCTTTTATGGTATGCATAATGCCACATGGTCCTTGATAGTTGTATGAAAGCAGGAATTAAGTTTACATTTCTAAAAAATGGATCCGTTATACATATGTGGCATTGTGGTTGTAGTTGTATTTGCTCCGAACCTTCATAGGTATATCCCATTATATGCCACATTTCTCTGGATTAAAAAAATATGTATGTATTATGTGCAGTGTGAAATGCACCAAAGCATTTGATTTTTCATGAAAGAATGCTGGTAATATGTAAGGAATATTTTTCAAACTTCAAAAATTGTTTCCTCAAGAAGCAAATTTCATTTGCTTTTTTAAAAAGTCACCATAAGTTTCCCCTCGCCACCCTCTTACTTTAGTTCAAGAAAGAAAGAAAAGAAAATTACTAGGAGTCTCTCGATTAAGCTAATGGTAGGAATTATCAATATCCAAGTCTAAGCTATCTGAAGGCAGGGCCAGATTTATCCCAGTTTTTCCACCAAAGAAAAGAAGCAACTGCCACTTTGATAGTTAATCTAGAGAATATAAGCAGAGTCAGCTACAAATGAAATTGTGAGGATACAAAATTTGCCTTTACATCCAGAACTTCCCCTTTCTCTGAATTTTCCCCCCCTCACCACTGTTTGTTTCCCTTCCTTTTCTTTTCTCCCACTTGAATCATCTAAATGGATTTAGGCTCCCCTACGTCCACCCTCCATTGTCTCATCCAGACTTGTTCTCAGGAAAAGATCTGTGAAATGTAATCACACTAAGATGTTAATGATTGATAAGGCTAAACGTGTCAGATGTCAGGTAGCAAAGTTTTAAAACCAAGTCATTTGGAAGCTGGAGAGGCTTTGGCTCAAAAACTGCATCCCCCACAAAGAGCCACCACCATGAGCCATGATACAAAAGCCCATCCATCTGAGAAGCCCCTCCTCTACCTGATTTTCTCTCATTAGGGATCTGCACTCTATTCTGGAGACCTCCATGCAGTCAACATAGAGGAATGTTCCATGTGTGCTGTCTTATCCTCCCCCTCCAAGTCATCAGGCAGCCAGACTTTGATAGACACAGAGACCATCATGACCACCCTCAACATAGGATCACTACGGATAAGCTGCCCTGCCCGGACACACTCAGAGCCAGGTAAGAACAGCACCCTGACAGGAAAAGGCTAGGGAGAATGGAATATGGAAGGAGAAGGAACTCCTCTTTGAAGCACCTTAATCATGGGGAGGAGGAGAGGATGGGCTAGACATCCTCTATGATCCCTTCTAACTCTGCGAATTCTATAACAGAAGCAGTGGATAGTTTATTCTTTGAGAATCCTAAATCAACTGAAAAATTATATCCATATTTGAAATGGAATGCATGAAACACTTGTCCCATTTTAAGTAAAATCACAGAATTCTAAGTGCTATTGTTGTTACTAATCAAATATCAGTGAATGTATCAATTGGCATATTATTATAATTAATAATAGGTGTTATTATTATTATCAAGTAAATTCTCATTGGACCTTGTAGATGTTCAAGTTATTATTCTGAGTTTCATGGTTGAGAGAATGAAGTATAGTTCTCTTTTACTCTTCAAGATGCTTTCATAGTGTGCATTTTAGAAGATTATCTCTAAGGTCTCTTCCAAATTCTATAGACTAAGGATGCCACATTTCAACTTCAGATTGGAAGAGATGGTGAGAAGCAAAGATCTCTCCAGGATGGACATTGTGTCTTTTCCTCCTTCATATTCCTCTCAGTGCCTAGCACAGTTACCATCATTTAGTAGATTCTTAACACATATTTATTGAATTGAAACAAATGAGCCAGTGAGCAGGACTCGAGTACTTTCCACATATTTTCTATACCCAAATGTGCTTGGCGTACATTCCCACTGTAAAATTGTGGTTTGCTTTCTTCCCCCAAATGGGAAAAGGCTTATATATTAGTCTATTTCTAAAAATTGACTACCAGCCACTCAACCTAATATGAAAGCACTACTACTGAAGAATTTTCTGTATCAAAAGCAGATTTTCAATTCAAGAAATAAAACTAAACCATGACTGGAGTTCCCTGGATCTAGCCATTTCCCTTGGGGATATTGATCCTCTGTGTCAAGATTAGGTCCTCTGTCCACATAGCTGCTGAGCACAGCCATTCCACTTTGCATGGAACTTGGAGAGGTCAGAGGTTGAAGGGATGGCAAGCTTTCATGATTATGGATGTGGGTGAAAATATTCATGAATCAAATTGAGAAACCAAAAGAACCCTCTCTGACTCCTAGACACTGTTGCTAGGCAGGAAAACACAAAGTTCTTGGAACAAAAGAATAAACAATTCATGTGTCTAATCTTTGGTAGGTGAACTGAGCCAGCTTTGTGACACACCCTCACTGAGCAACCAAACCCCACTCAGCACCTTGAGTTTGGGGTGTTTTTGCAAAGTGGAGCTAACATCAGAGCACTTCATCAATGTCAAGTGCGTTGAAAATCCAGACTAAGGACATGCGAGCCAGACCTCTGCTGAGCAAATCTGAAGATCCATAAAAATGTTATTGTGTTCTGCACGTAAATCCTTAGCTTAGCAATTAGGGTCACTCAGATTTACACAAGATTTGTGTATGGTGTGTGTGTGTGTGTGTGTGTGTGTGTGTGTGTGTGTGTGTGTAGTATGGAAAGGGGTAGAAGGGTGACTCTATGTTGTGTGTGAGTGTAGGTGTTGGGGTGTCTGTGTGCATCATTCTTGCAACTTTCTGTAATTGGCCAGAGACATATTCACTGTAAAGGCAGTACCATCAATATACAAATGAAAATGCCCACTCAATAAAAGCCTAGGATAAACTGACAACACCAAGAGCTACCTAGTTAATCATCTGGGTAACCAGTCCTTCTTCTTCTTCTTCTTCTTCTTCTTCTTCTTCTTCTTCTTCTTATTATTATTATTATTATTATTATTATTATCATTATTATTATTATTATTTTAATCTCACATCCCATATAAGCTAGAAAGATATCAACCTATGATTTTCACCCTGCTTTCCTTTATATCCAGTTATTTTCATCCTTTCATTTGTTTATTCATTCATTCAACAAATATATGTTGATCCTGTATGATGTGTCACGTACTCTGTTACAGGCAAGAAGGTTGCCCTTAAAGGAGCAACTGACTGGGTTGGTAGAAGGAGGTTGAGGAGAGAGGGGGAAAAGGACTGGAAAGGAGGAAAAGAAAATGAAAGTTTATCAAAGTACTTGAATTGTCATGAAGCATGAGTAGGTTCTTTCCCCAAAGATAAAAGGGAAAGTTTAGAGGAAAATGTATTTTGTAGGCCTTTCACTATTCCTTTTATAAATGTCATATCCACTTATGTGGTGGGGAAATATTTGTCCAGATGGGCTTTACTCAGCCACCTAACCAAAGTCATCTGGTCTGCATATCTGGTGCTATAGCATTGGTAAAGTCACATTCTGAGCCTGTGTGAATGGCAAAGGACCATTATTCAGAAACCCTACCAATTACTCTGGCATCGTAGGAATCTAGCTAGAGTTTATATATAGAAATCCCCAATCCTCAGAGAAGCCTGTTTGGTTCTCTTAACCACTCTTCCCATTTCATAGTAACACTCCTCTTGCACGATACCTAAGAGGTGGAAATGGGGACACCCACCTCCAAGAGTTGACAGTATAAAGGATTATGAAATTCTGCCAGTAAGTAGAAAATGTCTCCCATGCTGAGACCAATATAAGACTAGCTGATAGGCAGTTTTCTTTCCTTTCCTCTAGAACAGTGGTTCTCAATCAGGGAGGTTTTGTTTTGAGAGGTCATCTGACAATGTCTGGACATAGTTTCTGTTGTCACAACTTGGGGGGATGCTATTGGCATCTAGTGGGTAGAAGTCAGGATGCCAAACATCCTCCAATGTACAGAGCAGTCCTAAATGATAAAAAACTTTTTGGCCCAAACTGTCGATGGTACTGAGATCAGAAACCTTGCCCTAGCATATCTGATGAGCCCATTGTGGGATGGGTGGGCTTTTTCATAACTTCACAGCCATGATGGAGCCCATCTAGGACCACCAGGCCTATTCCATACAGTGGTATACCAACTGGTGTTGGGGTGGGGGAACAGCAGAGCAAGGATTCTCTGAAGGATCAGTAAGAACGCTGGGCCTCCTGGACATCTCCATGTAAAACTTTCGGTTTTTCACTGATGTTTTAATTACTGCCCTGTCATGTCACAAGGAGAACAGGTTGGCAAACCTAGGTACTGAACTAAATAATCTGTGGCATAATCTAAACATATAATGGTAATTAAGTCTGACAACTTAATATGCTACTGAAATTTAAATATACAGTAGTAATCTACAATTAAGCAATCTTTTGTAATAGCACCCTGCCAGCCTGGAAGATTTCAGGTATAATACTGTGTACTATTAGGTAACAAAAATATTGACATTAGTAAAATGAACTCAGGCTATGATCTGGCACATTCGAATTAACCATTGCACGACAAGAAAAGATGGCTTTAAGGCAGAAATTCAGTTGCTGTCCTTCAGCCTGTGTCAGAAGCAGATATTTCAGCAGTCACTTCAGTTAATGTGGACATGTCTGTATCCAATAAGAATATTTAACTCTGAAAGTCTGGCCATTCCAAGCCCCTTGTTAGAGGGAACTGGAATCAAAAAGTGGGAATCAAAGGAAAATTTCCTCTCTGAGGGAAACTGAGCTCAATATTTTACTGAAAATGCCAGCCAAACCGTGTGTATTTTAAAAGCTCTGCAAAGAGCATGGACTATGAAGTTGATGTGGATTGGGGTATCAAAACCCATCCATTATTTATAAGCTATTTAATCTTGGGCAAGTTATGTAAACCCTGAGGCAGTTTCCTCATCTTCGAAGGTGATCTAACTATACTTGATTCACAGATTTGTTGTGACTGTGGTGTAATTCTTATCTCTCTACAGCTTGTACTGCTCACAGCATCCAGAGGGATCTTTTACAAATATTTATCAGATCATGTCAGTTCCGTGCTTTAAACCCTATAATGGTGACTCATGACAATTATAGGAAAATCACGTAGGCTCTTACAGGCCAGAAAGGAGTTTGCATTTTCTCCCATTTTATCCTGTTTATACTGGTTCTTTGCTGCCTTAGGTCCCTTACCCCTTCCCTCTGCCTGGACGGCTTCTTCTAACCTCTCAGGACTCCATTCCAAGCCAGAAAAGCCTCTTCAAACCCCACCTGAAAACGCCTCTCCACTCAATCACTAGCCCCTAAAAGTCTGTTTTGTTTTTTATAGTACTCATCACTATATCTGAAAATATTTTGTATTTGTAACATGTTATGTAACTGAGGCAGAGGCTGTTCACAGTCCTAGCATGCAGTAGATACCCTTTTAATATTTGTAGAAGGAAGAAAGGAAGGAAGGACAGAATGATGGAAAGATAAAGCATCTTGCACAATTCTGAGAATAAAGTAGAATCTCAGTTTCCCCAGGACTTCCTGCAATCCTAGAGAGTTTTTTAAGGAAAAATAGTTTAAGGTATTCAGATCTCCTCACAAATAAGATTTACTAGTGAATTAGAATATCTGATTTCCAGTCTTGATGTCAACCCTCCTTTTATTTTTTAATTTTATTGAGGTAACTGGTTTATAAAATTATGTAAGTTTCAGGTGTACAACATTATAATTCGATATCTGTATACACTATAGCGTGCTCACTACCAAAAGTCCACTTTACATTCCTCACCATACATTTAACCCCTTTTATCTATTTTGCACTTCCCACCCCATTCACCTCTGGTAACTACCAATCTGGTATCTGTATCTGTGAGCTTGTTTTTGTTTTGTTTGTTCATTTGTTTCTTTTTGTTGTTGTTTGGAGGGTTTTGGTTTTGGTTTGGTTTGGTTTATATTCTACATATGAGTGAAATCATACCACTTTTATCCTTTTCATTTGACTTACTTCACTTAACATAATACCCTCAAGGTTCAGCCTTCCTCATAAACAGCTGTGTGGACAAAGTTAGACCTCCAGGCTTCCATTTCCTCACCTAAATTCCTAAGGTCACTGCCAGCTCTACCTGTAAACCAAACATGTTGGGCTTTTCCTGTGGAGTTTCAGTTTTTCCCCTGAATCCATCTTGAAGCATGACTCAGAAGTTTAGTGGCTCTCAGAAATGTATTCAGTTTTATTCTGCATTAACAAGAAGTGGCTCTTTTACCGACTATTCCTTGGGGCAATGGAAGAGGTGGTAAATATTGCAGTACATCACAAAATCTTCCTTTGGATTTGGTCTTTCCCCCTCCCTTTGTCTGTTTCTCAGGCTGACTCACCTACCTGTTCACCGCACTCATTTCACATCTCAGTCTCCCTCCCTACCATTTATCTGGCCCAGTAAACAGAGGACGCTCCAGATATTTCACCCTCTTCCAAGGCAGCATGGAATTTTAATTACAAACAAAATTTTAACTTTCACGGTATTTTTTCCGTTACAGTATTATTTTTCCCTTTTCTCAGAAAAGTTAAGAAAGATAACCAAGTTATATTTAAAACATAACTTCTGATGAGATAATTGTGGGGTTTTTGTTTAGTTTTGTTTTGTTTTGTTTTTTTGGTTTTTTTTTTAAATTATTATTAACTGGATTCCAGCTCCCCATTTCTCTCTTCCCTTTTCTTTCTTTACATTTTTCAGTTTAACTTGGACACCAAAACTACGTTGTCATGCTTGATTTTGAAACTCTTTGTAGTTCACTGCCTGACAAAGCTGTTTCAGGCCAATGCTGTGTGTCTGCTCTCTTTTGGAGCCAAGGCTCACAGAGGTAAATGAATGGTCTCACCTCCTAATACAGGAGGGAAATCTGTCTGTAAACTGAACACAAAGGGCAAAGGTCCCAAGTGACATCCCACCCCCATTTTTAAGAAACTCCCAAGGCATTCATGGTTGGAATGGGGCAACAAAAGATGGGAGGCAGACAGTTCTTCTGAAGAAGAAAGAAGACATGGGTAGCATCCCAGCCCAGAGATCTCAAAGAGGCAGACAGCACCAGCAACCAGCAACCAGTTGCAATGTTACCAAATGCATGCATGGAGCAGCACCACCTATTTATTCAGTTTCCTAAAAATTCTATAAGCAAATGGGTGTGCTTGGAGACACTGCCTGCCTGAGCCATTACCCAGCGCTAGCATGCCGTGGAGAAAATCATGTTTTACTTATCATGTCAATAACAAGGACCGGTAGAGCTTTACCTTTTTTGTAATTCACTGGAAGTGCCATTTAGAACACACACACACACACACACACACACACACACACACACACACACACACACCTTGTTCAAAAGGAGATCCTGAGGATGCCCAAATGTTTTTTTTTTTCTAAATATTGAAAAGGATTTAGGATTTGGGCATGAGAGAAACTTTATTAAGATAAAGCACCAAGTTAAATGGTGTGCGTCTCTATCCTTGTCATGTTTTGCAAGCTACTTAGTTTGCATTTATTAATCCCTCTTCTTCTTTGTTGTTGTCTATGTCTACAGAGGGGACTTTACAGTACACTGGTGGATGTAGTGGGAAATCAAAATACCGAAGAATCCCCATCCTCACTGAACTCAGTAAGTTGTGTTTCAAGGAAAAAATTCAAGGAAGATATCTGTGTAATCCATAATTGATATCCCAAGGTTTTTTTAATTTATTTTATTTATTTATTCTAATTTTATTGGGGAATTGGGGGAGGGGAACAGTGTTGGGGAATCGGGGGAAGGGGAACAGACAAGTTGCTGTCCTTTTGTTCTTCAGTCTAGTTATGGAGGATGTTGTTTCACTGGCCCAAGTTGGTATTATCATTGTGCTCTTCCCGGGTGAGGCAGATCAGTCGCCGGCCTCTGGACAGCTGCTCATGGCAGCTTTTGGCAGCTCACACCAGCTGTCAGCCGCTCACACTGGCTGCCGGCCACACACAGTAACTATGGCAGCCTACTGCAGCCCCACTGCAGCCTATGCCATCATGGGCGACTCACGGCAGCCCAGCTCCAGGTCTAGCTGTTGTTCACCATCTTAGCTTTAGAGGGCACAATGTCACCGGCCCTCATGTGGGATCCAAACTGGGGCCCTGCTGCTCAGAGCTGGCATCCCAAGTCAGCTCTTAACCAATGCTCCACTCGGCCGGCCCCCAAGGTTCTTTTTAAAATCCACAATCAAAGGAGCGAGGAAGCAGAAGGAGCACAGAGAGAATTAAGTGCTTGACTGGACATTACCTGATGGGTTACATCACCTAGCAGAGCCTGTTACACCTCTGTGTCAGGGCACAGGAATACCATCTGCCTTCTCTGCTCTTCCAGTTACCAGGAGAGGGAGGCCAGCAGCTGGCTCATCCTTATTCTGAGGGACTCTCCCATGGGAGGCAACATGGACTTGATGGCTGCTAGAAAGGACATCCCTGTACCAGGGATGTTAGGTCAGGCACCTTCCTTTCCTGCAGCAGTGATACCAGGGCCATCACTAGGGTGAGGCAAGTGAGGCGCCCAGAGTACAGATTTTAAGGAGATGCTCACTCTTGGGGTCCTTCAAATTTGCGTCCCAGGTGTCTCTCTCGTGTAATCTTAGTTCTGGACCTGAGTGGCACTATTCTAAAGTGGAAATATTTTATGCAGAAATATCAGAATAAACTGTTATCTCTCACCAACACCTTATGGAAAATGCACATATATGAAACGTTCCTAGATATGAGAAGCTCTGGAAATAGAAAGCAGGGCAGGGAAGGCAGGGAAAGTGCTGTGTGCACGTGTGCATTGGGGGGCGTGGGGGGGAATGGGAGGGACATGGGAGTGTTTATGAGGCACTAGGGGACATACTGGGATTTAACACTGATAATAATGATGAGAAAAGGGGACGATACCTAAAAGGGGAGAAGTTCCTTTAACAGATTGGACCAACTCAAAGATGATCTGTACAGCTGGTCCTAGGCATCTGATTTGACTGGATTCCATAGTATAGCAACATTCTTAATGTATTTTATGACCTAAAGTATATAAACTGAGTGAGACTTATACCAAGCTAGATGAACAGATGTCTTAGTCCCAGAAATGAAGCAGGGGGACAGAGAGGACTCAGTAGCTGACACCACCACGTGACCTGGGAGTGACAGTACAGCAGGTAAGAACTAGTCTAGTTACCCTGGATCCTGGAGCAGCAGCTCTTCAAATTCAGCTTTGAAGATCTCAGATCGCTTGATCCTGACCGGTATCAGCCAGACTATTTGTACCTACCTTGAAACTGTTGGGTGCAGTTTTTATTTATATTTTATTTTTACTTGTCTATCCTTTTGAACCACCTATAACCCTGAGGTGTAGATACACTTTGATTAGAAGACTGTAATGTAAGTTAGAGTGGACATGACCACTCAGGTGCTTACTGGCCCAGAGGTGCATCTAGTCACTCTCACAGGGCTCAGAGCTTTGTTTAATTGAAGATTTCTGGCAGCAGGAGGCCCTTGTTAAATTAGCTTAACAAATCACCTGCCAGCTCACAGTTTTTTTGTTCTTTGGCTGGAAAGGGTCACAGTGACATGGGAGCTGCAGATCTGACTTCCAGCACTTTGGTATAGAATGTACAGTGGCCTGCAGGAAAATGGCTTGGAAAACTGAGACCACTGGTTTAGGATGACAGCAAGATACAGACAAGGGCTCCTGGAACATGTGTGTGTGTCCAAGGTTGGTGATGCAAGGAAAGTTTGGTGATGCAAGGAAAGGGAATGATGTGTTTATAGAAAATGTGGTTTGATATTAGTCATACCTTGCTCATCTTTTATAAAAATATATAGTTCTTGGAAGAAAATGATTTACTAATACTACCAGTATATCACTTCTCCCAAGCTTACTAAGGAATAATTTAAAGAATTAAGGAGTAATCCAGTCTTAGTTAGGAATGTATGTTGGGCTGTGTGTCCAGTAGATTTTGTTTTGATCCGTAATGTAACTTTCAAGAACTGTAAAATGTCTAACACTTTATGCTACTTGCAAACTAGCAAGTTAACCTGCTACAGTTTCATGGATGCTGGCAGAAGACACAAGACCACTGGTTCAGAGACAAAGAATAGTTTATTACTCACAGTAACACTTTAGCCGGGGCATCATCATTTTTGTGCTGGTTGCCAAAGGGTGACATGAAAAGGCCAAATGATACCTCAACCTACTGTGGATTGCTTTATAAGAGAGAAATCAGAATCTCTTATAATGGGCATAAGCATGCCTTCTCTTAGCTCTGCTGGGAAACAACCTCTCTACCTTCCAATGCTATTCACTGTGCAAACATTTTTAAAGCAATAGTCTTAGAACAAAGGCAGACAGTGCCTCTGCTGGAACTCCCCAAAATGACCAGTTGCATTCACTTTAAAGGCTGCCTGCAGGGGTCGGAGTTGTAGCCCTGGGCCAGTATAGATATGCTAATGGATAATATGGCCACTGCTGCACTGGCCTCAGTTAGCACCATTGTTTGTGTCCTTGTTACTGACAGTGTAGTGCATGAATCAGCAGCATCAACAGCATCTGGAAGCTTGTTGGAATTGTAGAGTCTCAGGCCCCACCCTAGACCCAGTGAATCAGAGTCTGTAGTCGAACAAGCTCCCCAGGTGATTCATATTCACATTAAATTTTGAGAGGTACTGCTTTAAGTCATTCTGGACCCAGACAATCTAGGGCCACAATACCAAGCCATAGATGGCACAGTCTTATGAAAAAGACTATAACTGGGGCCATCACATGTTTCTATTTATGCCTGTTGTCCTAGTGCAGTTATTGTGAGAGCTCCCTTTCATTTCCAAAAGTGCCCTCTTGGTTTGAAAGACACGTTATATAAGCGTGACACTGAGAACACTTGCCTGGAGAAACTGAGCCTGAGGTACAAGGGTATCCTCTTGATGATGAAGGTATCCAAGGGGGATATATGTATCTTTAAGGAATGAAGAAAATACTTGGAAAGAAGAAAAATGTACTGAAATAGTGGCAGCTCCCATATTGACCCCAAAGTTGGCATAAAATCCTTTGACCAAGTGGTCATCTCTCACTCTGCCTTGTATGGCAGTTCCTATATTCTTAACCTTGCCTGCATGTCTTTCCTGTTTGCCTCTTTTGTCTTGCAGAAAATCCTTCCAACATCCACTTTATTGAGCAGCTTGGTGGGATGGAAGGGCGTCTCCCAGGAACAAGCCTGCATCTCAGCACTTCCTTTGCCACAGGCGCTGTATTTTCTGGCAGTTTCTTGGATTCCCTCCTGGCCACAGTAAGTGCAGCTAAACTGAGGAGCCTTCCGGACCAAGCCCCTAGCAGAGGGGAGAGTGGATGGCTTAGGGCATCGGTAAATGATGATAATGTTTCACAATTCTAAATTCTCTTTGATTTTTTAAAAAAAGCTTGTTCACGTACAATATTTCATCTTTTCTCACAACTACCTGACAAAGGCAGCCAAATCTTCACATTTTCAAAATTAAAAATGTAAGAGCTGGAACACTTCATACCAGGGGGATTGAGCAGGTGAGCTGCAGACCACCTGCCTTTCAGCTTCAAGAGCATCTCGGCAGACCCAGCCCTTTGGTAGCAGAGCTCAGGATATACTATGTTCTCTTCTCTCTAAAATATCCCTCAATATTTAGACAGAAACCAGCCATAAAGAGACATGAAGTTCAAGGGAAAAGCTTTGGCCTTTGGTGGTATGAGTTTTGTTCATAGATAAGTCAAATCTCCCTCCACTTTGCCCCTCCCTTGGGGTGGATTTTTGACTCCGTGGCTGTTTTTTTAGCTCTCAGCCCCTCTTAGCCACGGAGTAGATCCTTTGTATCAATTACAGGATTTCCATAAATAGAATTAATTCATTGTACAAATGCCTATTGAACAGCTACTCTGTGCAGGGCACTATTCTGGGTGCTGGGGATACAGCAGTGATGAAACAGACAAAATTCTCTACCTATGTGGAGCTCATGCCTATGGAAGAGATTGACATAAACATGGTAAATAAGGATATGTCAGATAAGGTGTGTCAGATAGACATAAGGCTAAGGTGATGAGAGATAGGAAATGTAGGGTTTGGGGGAGGGGCTGCAGATTTCAGTAGCGTGGCCAGAGAGGACAGCACTGGGAAGGTGGCACATGCATCAAGTCTGGAGGAGGTGAGCGTGCACACCATTCTGACCTTTGAAGAAGAAACTCTCCAGGCAGAGGAGAGAGGGCAAGGGCAGTGAGGTGGGAGCAGTCCTAGTGTGTTCAAGGAATTTGACTAAAACTCACAAAATCTGTGTGTGCTCACTACTGAATGGCTGCAAGAACTCCTCCAAAGGAAATCCTGGTAACCCACTGCCTCACAGGCCCCTCCTGCTGGGATTTTCCAAGGGAAGGGCTGCACAATGGCTGAATATCTATATACAGATGCTTAAATGCACAAGGCTCTAAGAACAGTTTGACAAAGTCTCTGACTCCTGGAATCCCATGTAGAAGAAGCATTATTCCTGAATGTATGGGTGCCACAAAAGTGGAGTTTGCACTTTTAGGGGAGTGTGGCTGGGACACATGCACCCCTCATGGCATGAGTACCGTTTGGTACTGAGGAAATTAAGTTGCCCTGGGCTTTGCCCCCTAAGCCTTGGGGGAGGGGGGCCTTGTAAATCCCATCGAACTCTCAGAGAATGCTATATCAGTGGTAGTTTAACAAGTTGGTAGACTGAATTTCCTAAAGGGTTAAGCGGCATTTAGCCAGGGAGAGATGCATTGGAGGGGATCCTTTTCTGGGAAGGTGGCTCTGTCATGGAGAGGGTTTTGAAACATTGTCATTGACATGTCAGTTACCTTGCCTGTAATTTATGACTCGTGTATCAGGCAGAAAGTGTCTTTTGATGAACTGGACCTATCTGCAGGAACATTTTTGATGACTGTAAGTCCCAGTTCTTTTCAGAGATTTCCTAGATGGTAGGCAGCTTTGTGCCTTAAATTAAACTTGAGCTTTAATTAAACTCCGCTGGCCCACATAGGTTGGAACAGTCACAGATTCTGCTTAGAGTTGGTGGGAAGAGCCAAATGGGCAGAGAAGGGCTGAAAGAGTAGAAATAAAGACAGATGAATACATGATAAGCTTAGGAAACATGAACTTGGTAATAGAGTTGGCACCTGGGCTTCTCATCACTCACACCATACTACTTTTCCAATACATTGATGTTGAAACTCTGCTTAGAGGGGCCTGTATCCCAGAATGCTCCAGAGATGCTGAGGAGTCAGGCAGGGAGGGTGAGACTAGGAGGCAACCACCCACCCATGCCCACCAACATCATCCCCTCAGTCAGAGCAACCTTACTCTCATCTGTGCCGTGTCTGAGGTCCCTGTGTAAGATCTGATTTGGAGAAGGATTTCTGCATTAAGAAGACTTTGAAAACCACTCCCTAGAGGTTAGACTGCCTGACAAACAGAGAGACATAAAATAAAAGAACCAGAACTCTGTTCTCCTCTTTTCCGAGACAGATTTCCAGTTTCTGTCAGGAGTCCTGTGTGGGAGAGAGGAGTCAGCCATTCTGCCCCAGTTTGCATGTCCTTTCTGTCCCATAATTGCCCCTCACCAAAGAACATCTTCCAGGTTTGGCTCTTCCAACCTGCTGCCCAGCCCAAAGCATCAAGAGATGTGTTTGCAGTGCTGCACACTCAGAGGTTATAATTAGAAATAAAATGTTTGTTTCCCTGATGCCCATAATATACAGTAAGTCAAGGCTCACATTAGATGGATTCAAAACAAACTCCTTCAGGAAAACGGCGGCTGACACCTCAGCAGTTTCTGAAACAAGATGAGATCACTAGTCTATTGACTCCAGTCTTGGTGGACTGTGTTCCCAACCTAATAGTAAAGGGTCCTTTTCCTTCCCATGAGAGCTCAGAAAACTCAACAGTGTGTCTCCACCTTTTCTTCCTAGTCACCCTTGAGAAACACACAGGAGAATGAACATGCAAGTCCTGGGGATAGAACAAAGCCTGAACAACGTGGTGTGAACTTGTCACTGCTCAGAAATAGTGAAGTTTTATTTCAGATTTTCATGCAATTTTCTTCCTTCCATCCCCTGATATACCTGTGATTATTTTTCAACATAAAATAATGGATTTCCCCTCCAAATCCCCTGGTTCATTTGATACTATGGCTCCAAGTATCCTCTAGTATACTACTGTAAACTCCTGCCCCCGTTGAAGAAACATGCCTATAAGGCATAATTCAGATTGACTTTTAATCCTCTATCATTTCAGTGCTATAAAAATTAAAATATGGAGGGCCGGCCGCGTGGCTCAGCTGGTTAAGAGCTCGCTTGGGAGCGCCAGCTCTGAGCAGCAGGGCCGTGGTTTGGATCCCAGTGACACTGCCCTCTACAGCTAAGATGATGAACAACAGCTCAACCTGGAGCTGGGCTGCTGTGAGTCGCCAGTGACAGCATAGGCTGCAGCGGGGCTGCAGTGGGCTGCCATGAGCTATGTGAGTGGCTGGCAGTCAGCATGAGCAGCCGGCAGCAGGTGAGAGCTGCCGTGAGCTGCTGTGAGAGGCCGATCAATGACCGGCGACTGATTGCCTCACCCGGGAAGAGTACAATGATCATACCAACATGGGTCAGTGAATCGACATCCTCCACAACTAGACTGAAGAACAAAACAGCAAATTGTCTACCTGTCTGTTCCCCTCCCCCAATTCCCCAATAAAATCTTTAAAAAAAAATTAAAACATGGAGAGGCACTCTGGCCCATAAGCAGGATCCACATATAGCTTTACAACAACAGAACTTCAGAACTGGCCATGAATTAGAGAGCATTCTCCTTTATTTATAAGGAAAGTGAGGCCCACAGAAGTTACATGACTTTCTCAGTGTTACTCATCTGGTTTGTTGCAGTTTTTCTACCATATAGTCTTATTCTGAATTAGAAGTATTTCTCAAAGAATGTTTGGTCATAAGGCCTTTTGAGATTCTCAGAATAAAAAACAGCAAGTGGATAAGATGTTAGTATCTATGTTATTAATTAATATTCTAAGTTATAAGAGAGACCTCAAGCTTCACTGTAGCTCATAGTTAAAACCCTTTGGGCTGCAACATTTTCTAACATTGGAAGTCTAAATTCTAGTCAATCATGTTATATTTCAATTTTCATATTTCCTTGAAAAAGAAAAAAGAAAAAAGGGGAGGAAAGAAGGAAAGAGGGTGGGAAGTGGAAAGGAAAGGAGGGAGGGAGGAAAGAAAAAGAAAAAGACCAATAAGGCCAATACCACAGAACCCCAAATGATAAAAGTATGAGGTGAACCCACAGGGTAAGGATGACATGTAAATCCTATTATTTTCCCCAATATAGAATTGCAATCCTTTTGATGTTGAAACCAAAGAAATGATATGTTCAAAAGCTAAGCCTCTCTCAGTTAAATATGTAAAGTGCATGTTTCCTTAGTCCCTTTAACACCAGGATAATGCTAGAATTTACTCATTTTCTTTAATCAGTGGCAAATTATTCTAACAGCATTGTTCGATCACTCTACATTATGGCCACTTGTTCTTAAATGGAATGTGGCTCAACCTAGATTTATATCCTCTGTTCTCTCCCGGATTTCAGGAAGCTGATTTCATAAGCACACTTTTGAGTGGTAGCAGGATGGAACAGAGGAGAAATTTAAGGAGGAGGCCATCACTCAGGGGACTCTTCAGTCTGGACAGTAGAGTGGAGGAGGCATTTGAAGTCATCTTCTAACCTGAAAAATATTGTAAAAGTTATATAGATTGTATTATTTCCCAGGTCACCTTGTCCCAATGGCCTCCATGTTTTACTAGCAATATTTTGTTTATTAAAAATCAATGTTCAGTTGCAGTCAGTATTCTTACAGCTTTTGAATAGGGCATGGGTGTTAAATTGACAAAGTGGATCCTCTGAAAGAGCACGTAATTTAGGGAAGTGTTGCTCAGAATATGACCTGAGGACCACCAGCATCAGAGCCACCAGATATGCCCTTTAAATTCCTATTCCCACTACTGTCCATAAATTCTGATCCAGTAGATCTGAGATCGCCGGAATCTACACTCATGAATATCATTCCCGGTGATGCAGATACATGAGAACCAGTGTTGAAGAGAACAGAAGTTAGTAATGTGTGCTGTGTATCTCATTTAATCCTGCAAACAATGTTTAGGGGTAGGTAGGAATTATTATATCAGCTTTAAAGATGATAAGACTGTTGCTGAGAAAAAACACATGAATTGTCCAAAGGTATGCAGCCAGGACGTGCCAGTCCAAAATTCGAACTCAGCTGTGTCTCAGACAAACTACTAAATATTGGGTTGTCAGAAAAGTCATGATGCATGTTTACAATACATGGCACTAGTTCATTTTTGGAAGTACTAGAGTCATTAGCATCTGTTATTGCTATGTCATTTGACAGCTGACAGTTCTAGCTTCATTCTAAAAAAAAATTGAGCAATTTGGTTGAGCTTTTGAGATTTTACAACAAGTTGAAGATGGAAGACCAAACTGCATTTTTGCCATATTTTACTGTTTTACTTCCATAAAGGGGAGAACGCGTGTCAAGCTTGTGAAAAGTTGCATAAAGTTTATGGTGACAATGCTCTATAAGAACATCAGTGCCAACAATGGCTCACGAAATTTCATGCTGGTGATTTTGATCTCAACAACGCTCCTCGGTCAGGGAGGTCCACTGAGGCTGATGATGACAAAATAAAGGCATTGATAGAGTCAAACCCACATTACACGACAGGAGAGATTGCAGAAACATTGAACATCCATCATTCAAGAATTCATGACCACCTGAAGAAATTGGGATAGGTAAGCAAGCTCAATATTTGGGTTCCGCATGAACTCAAAGAAGTTCATTTGACGGGGCATATAAACATTTGCAATATGCTCATTAAATGTGATGAAAACGATTCTTTTTTGAAGAAACTGATAACTGGTGATGCAAAGTGGATTGTTTACAACAATGTGGTGTGCAAACAGTCTTGGTCCCAAAGTGATGATTCGCCTCAAATGAAATCGAAAGCAGACATTCATCAGAGAAAGGTTATGCTCTCAGTGTGGAGGGATTTTAAAGGTGTTGTGTTTTTCGAGCTCCTACCAAGGAACCAAACAATCATTTCAAATCTGTACTGTCGGCAGTTGGACAGTTTGAACAAATTCATCATTCAGAAACATCCAGAACTTGTTAATTGTAAAGGAGTTGTGTTCCATCGCAACAACGCGAGACCACACACAAGTTTGATCATCCATCAAAAATTATTGAAGCTTGGATGAGATGTGTTGCCACACCCACCATATTCACCTGACCTTGTGCTATCAGACTTCCACTTGTTTTGCTCTCTTCAAAACTCCTTGTGTAGTATAATGTTCAATTCATATGAGGCTGTAAATCAGTACCTTGTTCAGTTTTTTGCAAATAAAGACAGGTCCTTCTATGAATGAGAAATTATGAAGCTCACTGAAAGATGGCAAAGGGTTATCGAACAAAACAGGCAATATATCATTGATTGATCTTTGTTCTTTATATAAATAAATGACCTTTGAAAAACATAGACAAAATATGTCATGACTTTTCCAACGACCCAATAGAATAAAAGCTTATAGCCATGGGATCACAAAGAAAGGAAAACTTCATTCTGAGAAGGAGGCCAGCACAGAGTTCACCAAGCTGATAAGAGAGGAACCAGATGTTCTAAAGTAAAGGCACGAAGAAGCAAATGGATAGTTTGAGCAGCTACAAATACCGTTGTGCACTGGAGGGACCATTCTTGGAGGAGATGAGCTTGGTTTTACAGCAGAGGTATGGTCCTGAAGGCTTGAGGAGGTGGATGGCATGATGTGATTTGTTTCTAGAGAATCTCTCTGGAAGCATTTTGCATAATGGATTGCAAATGAGAATAAAAACAAGGAAGACTAGTAAAAAGGTCGCCATCATAACCAGGCTTTAGAAGTCCCTGAATTTGCAAGTAGAGAAAGTAAGTGCTAAAACTTCTAGAAAAATAACAATTGAAGTTATTCCTAATATATATGTATTCCTAATATATAATATTATATATTAGGAATACATATATATTTTTTAGTTTTTATTATAAATATAATATATGTATATAATATTATATTTATAATAAAAACTAAAATTATTGACTTTTATATAGGTAATATAAACATACTGGAGTAAAAGTTTAACATCACACAAGTGGTACAAAATTTAAAACATTATGTATTTGGTAGGTTTGAGAAAATCTAACGGGTAATATAGTACATTGCTATTTACATGTATGGCAATGCCTAGTCTTCACTGACTGAGGTAAGAATCCTTTGGAAAAGGAGTTTCAGAAAATGGCTAGGGTTATTCAGACTCGAGGTAGTTTCAAAGCAAGAAATTGGCCCACATGTCCTCCTTTGGTTTCATTTCAATGCCAAAGATTCTAAAATTCCATTCATTTATTCAATAGTTATAATCTGTGAAGTACACAATAAGACCTATGGGAAATCTAAATATTAATAAGACCTAAGTCAATACTTGTCCTCAAGTAGGTCACAATCAAAAGGAAAATAAGTAGATTCATATCCAGAAGATTCAAGTACAGATGACAATATCAGTAGTCCCCTAAAGAAAAATCTATAGACATCTCATCCAATACATATTTTTCAATATGTGTTGATGATTACTAGGGTTCCTATGGCCTGACATATTCCTCTGGTCATTTTTGGAAGAGAGGACTTCCTTGGTGCCAGTATAATTACCCATTTTTTATTTCTGTTATAGCGTAAGCCCCAAGGGAGCAAGGACTGGGTCAGCGTTACTTTCTCTGCACTTTGCCTAACTCAATGCCCCACGCAAACTGCCAGCTTTTAGCTGATTTTAATAATAATAATGAGAGACCCTATTTGCACCATCGGGTCCATTTCAAACAGTAATGCCCAAGCAATCTCTAAGATTATACACCTCCACCATTTACATGTTGGCTTTTCTGACTTAACACATGACCTGTCCTTGCTTTCCAGGCATTCTATAATTACCATGTCCTGGAATTAGTTCAGATGTTGGTGACAGGAGGGACAAGCTTCCAGATGGAACAACATGGGGTGAATGACTGCTACGCTGCAGTTATGTCTGAAAGAAAGCGGTGTAAGCTGGGGCTGTTGTCCTTAAAACAAACCATTTTGTCGGACATTCAAGTGAGTCTACTCTTCATAGAATTTCCCACTTCCTTACCTCTCTGAGTTCCTGAAAATGGTCCAGGCTATTTGGGTTCCAAAATGACCCGTAGCACAGAAATCATAACATTAGTAACAAGAAATCACTACAACTTAGAGTATTTTATAATTTGCAGTGCATTTTCACATGTGTTATAAGAACTCCAGGAGGTAGAACAAGCAGTTGTTACTATCCCCGTCTTCCATATAAAAAACCCAAGTCCACAGGAAGCATCAGAGAAGTCCAATAACTTATACCCTAACAAGGGTATTATTAATAAGTGTAATAGCTAATATTTACTGAGCATTTCCACTGTGCCTTTCTGCATTTTTTTCACTTAATCTGTCCAAGGTTTTACGTGGTAGGTATTGTTATTAATCCCACTGAATAGATCAAGAAGTTGAGGCCCAGAGAAACAAGTACTCACCTCAGACCTCATTGTCTGCCAGTGGCAAAGCAGAGCTGCCCCTGAGGCAGTCTGACACAGGTTTGTCCACTCTTCTTATACCTGAACCACTAAAGAAATCTGATCAGGTCAGCTGAAATCAGGCATAAGGATTCTGTGTTTGGATCTAAGAAACACGAACTGAACTAGCCCTGGAAAATGCTTGAGTTTTCTTAGCCCAGTGAGCTGGTGACCAGTAGATTATAGCACGAGAGAAGAGAACCATGATGGCAGATTCCAGTGGAACCTCTGGGCATTTGGGGATCAGAGTAGAGTCTATCTTGGGCACGAGTAATCTGCTTATCAGTGTGGTGCCTTTTTGCTTAGTTGACATTAACATTGCATTCAGCTCTCCAGGGTAATTGTAGGGACAGGCCTTTATTAGGGATCATTTTTTGTTGGTTCAGAGGACACCACCATAAACTCCTTCATAAGGAGCAGCCTCTTCCAGGCCTCTGTGCCTGTGTGTCCTGACAGGTACTGGCAAAAGGCAAGCCCCACGCTCTGTCATTTCACTCCCAGGAACACACAACATTCCAGAATTCCCTCGGTATGGCTTGGTCCTCCGTACTTCTGTGGTTCTGGGCTCCTCGCCTATGGCTGACTTGAGTGATTATGCATGTGTGTCCAGGACAACTGCTGCCAGCAGCTTCCTGTGGGTATCTGAGGTGACAGCGGGCTGGACAACATGTCTGTCCTTCCTTTCTCCACTTGGGTCTTGTCCTCACTCTGTTCTTTACCTTGAGGAGTTGCACACAGGACTGACCAGACCTTTTTTTTTTTTTTTTTTACTTCCCTGAACCCATTAGTTGCTGCTTTTGAACCTGTTGTCCACTTGCAGTGTCCTTGTTGGTTGAAGCCTGAAAGCAATGTCAAGAGCAATGCTCAGGGCTGTAGCCTGCTGTCCAGTGGGACAGGAAAATCACTCTCTGGAGGTCACTTAACATCCTAACTACTTAGATACACTGAAAATGGGATTTTCCAGCCTGTTGCTCCTTAATCGGTAATAAAAACAAGCCTAATGACATGCCACACCACACCCACCAGAGGCTCCTGAAAGACAGAAAGACAAAAACAGTCATTGGGATTAGATGCACAAAGCTCATCGTAAACCTCACTTCCTAGCCACTTGACACTACCACCCTAAAGACCTTAGGAAATACTTTCAGGTTTTCCAAACTTGTACCAAATGACACTCCAAGTAAGTGCTTGTCACTGCAAGATTAAAGTGCCAACAGACATATGTTTTTTCTTTTCTCTCCCCAGCCAAGACAGACCTTTGGGCAAATTTTCTGTGGCTCATTAGATAATTTTGGAATCCTGTGCCTTGGCCTATACCGCATGATAGATGAAGAGGAGCACAACCCCGAGCACAAAAGGGGAGTATGCTGACTTGGGAAGCGCCAGCCCTATAAAAGGCACAGCTGCTTTGTTCAGTGTGAAAGAGGGGTCCAGAACTTAGGGTTGACAGTTGCAAAGAAGAGTGCAGGGGAAGGGGATTGCGATGTAGGAACAAGGATGCATGTACATAAGTGACATGAATAAACCCTGGTAATTAGGATCCAATGTAAGCCATGTAAAAATGGTGTTTCTGCCTCCAGTGAAAATTGAGACAGAGATCCAGATTTTAAATCAGGTGTTTGTTTGTTTGTTTGTAACTTACCCCTTATCCATGACTGTGAAACGTTTTTAAAGCTGAAGACCACTGTCCACTTTGGAAAGATTTGCTTGCTTTATGCTGGATTCATTGGGTAAATATTTACTAAGTGCCTCTTTTCTAGCCACTGTGCTTTGTACATATAAATTATTGGATCATTATGTTTAAATTTAAGTTTAAAGAAATATCAGTCTGACAGTAGTGGGGAAGATAGAGGAAATGTATGTGGAAGGCAGGACGAGAAAAGAGAGTGCAGCCTACAGACAGCCCAGTGACATAGATCCAAAGTATGATTCTCACAGTGGGAATGGACGAGACTCAGTAGAGGAACAGAAACTAAAAATAATAGAGTGAAAATAGATTGATGGAACCTGTTCCAAGAGAAAGGGGAAGGAAGCCAAATCCCTCAAAGTAGGGTAGTCTTGAAGAGAAAGAAAGACAATTTCTCTGCCCCTAGAAGAAAAGAAGAAAGAGAGTGGATGTCAAGACACACATGGCTATAGATGAGAGGGGTGTGCTTAAGGGAGTTTTTACTGGTATTTCTCAGTGAAGTACAAGCATAGCCATTGCCGAAAGAAGAGATGAAGGAAGTATTACAGGGAGTTGAGAAAAAGGTGAAAGTTTACATTAACTACTGAGAAGAATGGAAGAAGAGGCTAATTGCGGATTTGTAGGAGCAATACTAGACTGTAAAGTCAAAGGACAAATGATTGCAGGTCCTGATGAGGTTGAAGAGTAGCTGTATTCTTTCTCTGTCATTCTGTAAGGGAATGGCAGAGAAAGAATGATAGAAGTTGTGGTCAGAGAGTGATATACTGAAGCATAAGATCTTAGAGGTGGGGCATGTCAGGAAATTATAATATCCAGTCTTGGGCTAGGAGATAAAGATCACTGGGTAGTAGAAATCAAAGGAATGTGACTGGATGTTGGAGTTGTAAACCACATGGACACTGCTGGTATGTAAGGTGACAGGGGCACTGGGGTTTGAGAGAAAAAGTATCCCAAGTACCAAAGACCTAAATAAACATGGAGGTCTACAGATGACACTGATGAATCAGGAGGGAGGGTGATAGGGCTGTAGAATATTAACCGCAATGATGGGGGAAAGAGTGATGTTCTGGAAGCAGCATTGGAAAGCATGAGTGATGCGCGTTCTCCCTCCTCTCTCTCTCTCTCTCTCTCTCTCTCTCTGTCTCTCTCTCTCTGTCTCTCTCTCTGTCTCTCTCTCTCTGTCTCTCTCTCTGTCTCTCTCTCTGTCTCTCTCTCTCTCTCTCTCT